TCCGTCGCCTTGACGGCAGAAACAGCAGCTCCGTCACTTTGACAACGGGAACAGCAACTCCGTCGCTCTCACTGCGGAAACAGCAACTCCGTCGCTCTGACGGCGAAACAGCAGCTGCGCCGCTTCGACGGCGGAAGCGGCAGCGAAGTTGAGTTGTGAGGCGTTTCAGGAGTAGTCGACTTATTTGACGGTGAGAACAGCAGCGACGACGTTGCTTTTATGGCGGAAACAGCAGAAACATTGCTCTGACGGTGGAAACAGCGGCCGCGTTCCCTTGATGGAGTGACGTCGCTTGACGGCTTGTCATCGTCTCAACTCGAAAATCATCTGAACTTGCAATGTCAAGTCGTATTCGCCTTAACTTGGCAAGAAATCCTTCGTAGCTAACATACAAGTTCTTCTTAACTTGACATCTCGATCAACTACGACTTAACACCGTCTTAACTACATTCGTCTTGGATTAGCTTTATATATCCTCCGTAATCCATTGCCGGAAACAGTCAAGTCTAAGATACGTGAGTAAACTGGAGGTTAGTGCAGGTACGCGAGAGAACTAGGTTAGTGCAACCTGCAGCTCCTGTAGTGGGACATGGAGCTCAGAGCGGAGATAAGAAATGGCAGTACTGAAAGATTCTGCACCTAGAAAGGAAAGCGAAGAATGAAGGTGAGAGAAGCTTCAGTCCATTTCGCCGAAGACTACCCAGTCAATGCTCGTACTGAAAAAGCGGCAGAACAGCTGACTCCCGCGAACTCCATCATGGATGAAGGAGAAGGGATGAGGTTCGGTCGGCTTGGGAGGTGAGGGAAGTTGGGATTGGGAGAGAATTTCTCCAGACCCGGAAACGGTGATTTGCCGTTGCACACGTAGCCTTGAATTGCTACCGTGGTCGGACAATTCGATGATAATTGCTCGAGTGGTCTTGCCAGAGGTTTCCTCTGGCATTTGTTTTATCCGGCACATTACCCAAAACCGGTTTTTAGCCCTGAAATTCTTACGTCGAACTTGTCTCTTCCTGCGAAAGTGTGACGCACCCGGAAAGACGTGCACGAGGGCGGCGCCGTCACTGTTCGGATACGCGACAAAAATCGGCACGATAATCTAGGCAAACAGTTGCGCTCAATTTCGGTCCATATCGTAACCAATCCGCGCATAGTTATATGATTCCCCGATCATATACCCAGTTGCACGGATGTCAGTACGCGCGACCAATTACAGGGTGCGCTTGATTGGTCGACTTTATGCGTGGGGCCTTTTCTGACCTTTCGCGTCCAATCAGACGCGGTCATGTAAGATTGCGCTCATATAAAACCGCATATTTACCTATATGAGCGCGCATATGTGATGCTCGAATGTGTGTGTGATCTGTTTTATTAATATAAAACTATGTTAATAAATTTGAGAGACGTTATCACTACCAGCGTTTTGCCATTATACCTATATCAAACTGTGCATACCTATATCGCACAGCGTGATATAGGTATAATGGCAAAACGCCGGCAGTGATAATGTCTCTCGAATTTATTAATATAGTTTTATATTAATAAAACAGATCATACACACATTCGAGCATCACATATGCGCGCTCATATAGGTAAATATGCGGTTTTATATGAGCGCGATCTTACATGACCGCGTCTGATTGGACGTGCAAGGTCAGAAAAGGCCTCGCGCATAAAGTCGACCAATCAGGCGCACTCTGTAATTGGTCGCGCGTACTGACATCCGTCCAACTGAATATATGATCGTGGAATCATATAACTATGCGCGGATTGGTTACGATATGGACCGAAATTGAGCGCAACTGTTTGCCTAGATGAGTGTGCTGATTTTTGTCGCGTATCCAAATAGTGACGTTGTCGCCCTCGTGCACGTCTTTCCGGGTACGCCACACTTTCGCGGGAAGAGACACGTTCGACGTAAGAATTTCAGGGCTAAAAACCGGTTTTGGGTAATGTGCCGGATTAAAAAAATGCCAGAGGAAACCTCTAGCAAGACCACTCGAGCAATTATCATCGAATTGTCCGACCACGGTAGCAATTCGAGGCCACGTGTGCAACGGCAAATCACCGTTTCGGGGTCTGGAGAAATTCTCTCTGGGATTGGTTGGTTGGCGGGTGTGACGAGTTCTGTCAGAGAGGGAGTTTTGAAATACTGTATTGGAGGGAAACCGGTACGAGCTCTGGCGAGGCTCGGTGCCAAGTAGAAACGCGCTGTACAGAACAGCGTCAGCACCTAAGAAAGTACATATAAGGGACAAACGCTTTAGACATTAGAACCAACAGAAGAAGAATTCATAACATCTACCGTATATGGAAAATATACGGAGAAAAGTGCCAGAATGGAGATTTTATTACGATGAAAATAACGCGTATGATGAATTCGACGAGATTGCGAGGTCTATGCAATGTTCTTGAAACAGAAGTTTGGCTGCTGACAAGTGCATGTCAAGAAGGTTCAGTTTCTGGCTCTGTTTCATTCTCCGTGTCTGTGCCTCCCAAGCACGCCAGCTCACTTTCCTCTGCTGAATCACTTTCCAGCCTCAGAAAGGTGGGTGAGGCTGGCCCCCACACCCGCAACCGCTCAGGCCAGTTTCTAAAAAACAGAAGCACACAGAAAATACAGATGGGAGCAGCACAGCAGCAGAGAAGGAGAAAGTGGGAGAAAATTGTTTTCTAAATCTTGTTCACAGCAAATGCGCATGAGATCAATGTGTTGATGCGAGCAACTTACTGCATGAGTTTCTCCCGCAGCGTGCGCCGCACAGCTGCATTGAAGCCATATGCTATGGAGTTGAAGAGGCCCTGATGGGGGATACCAGTGAGGATCATGGAAGACAGGCACATGGGGATAACAGTCGTGCCTTAAGAAAAGAGAAAAAAAAAGGATACACATACCGTACAAGCGCATACGGATGACGTACAAGCACAATGAGCGCACACTATAAACAGAGGGGGCAGCTGACCATGAGAGCGGCAGTGCCAATGTGCAGGCAGTAGAGGATGAAGAGAGGGCGGTGGGGCTCCAAGAGGTTGTGGATTTTGTTGATCGTGCCGCACGTCCACGACCCGATGAGGATCAGAGGGTAATACCCCCACCGATTCATGGCCTGCCAAACATTGCACATGCAGGCAAAAAGGATAAAAGAATGAGCGCTCACTGGTGCTGGTGATGTAATAATAATAAAAAAAAACCGCAGCTGCGACGAGAGGCTGAAAAAAAAAACAAAACAACAGCGAACCAGAGAAACAGTGAAAGCTATGCACTCTGATGGTGATGAAGGGAGAAACTGCAACAGCTTACACTTGAGACTTTGGAGCTTGCTGGACCTTCCATTTTCTGCCTGTCTGCCATGTTAGCTGCCATCTGCCATCAATATACAAGCACACATGCACAGTAATGATACGGAAGACCTGTTTGCCTCTCCCCTTACCGCACCTTCTCTGTCATTGTACACACAAACAGCTAACTGCTATGCTTGCTGCAATAAGAACGAGAGAATGCGTGTCGGCAGAACGCTGTTGGGGGTGGAAAAGGCTACGAGGCGGGAAGTGTGCTTGTGTTGGGGTTACTCTTGTGCCATTACCCGTGTGGCATTGGATAACATGCGGATGACTTGGAAGTAAATGACGCCATTGAAGAGAATGGCAGACCACAGAGGCACGTAGAAGGTCAGGAAGCGCAGCACCTGCTCGCACAACAGGACCCAGGCCAGTGATGCAATATGAATGATTGGAGAATGGTGGATGGTGCATGGGGGATGGGAGGCGGACGGGTTGGGGATGGGTTGGAGGTAGATGAAAAAAGGGTTTCAGGGACGTCCACCGGATAGGTGGTGGAGGGGTGTGGGTCATGGATAAGAGATGGGTGATGGTGGGCGGGGCGTAAAATATGTGAAGGCAGGGGTGGAAGTGGAAAGAATGGTGGTGCAAAGAGAAAGAGGTGAGAACGTACAGATACAATGGAGAGCGTAACAAGAGGGGAAGCTAAAGCATCAATCCTCCAATTCAACAAAGCGACTTGCCCCCGCGCTGTCCTCCCTTCCTCAAACCCCTCACCCCGTTCCTCTTCTTCCTCACCACCCCCACCAGCAACACCACCCCACACCCCCCCTCCCGGCTCACCTTTCCCATGACCGTCTCGTTCTGAACCCAGCACCAGGCCCCTGCAGGGCCATAGTCGCTGCCCAGGGACGGAATGAGCGTCATGAGCGCGGCAGTGCCCCACACATACACATGGAAGTAGGGCCCCAGGCCCTCCACGTCCGCCTTGTGCCTCACGACGGTGCGGTGGAGCGTGTATGCTATGGTGGTGGTCCAGAGAAAGGACGCCACCCAGAAGAACTGCGTCGCGTAGCCCTGCATGTAGCACAGCGCGCCCTCGCCCGGGTTGCTGCGCGGTGGGAGGGAGCGGGGGGTGGTTTGGATGGGGGGGTTTTGGGAGAGGAGGGTGCGATGGGTGGGGGGATTGAAGTGAGGGATTTGAGAGAAGTTAAGGTGGAGTGAGTGAAATTTGAGGGGTGGTTGTGAAGTGGAGGATGAATTGAGAGGAATCCAGGGGAGTTTGTGAATCTTATTTGAAGTGTCTTACCCGAGCAGGTTGAAGAGGCTGCAGAGCATGTCCTGAGGGATAGAAAGGGTGTGGGATGGCACACAGGCGTGGTATAACCACAATGAGTACGATCGGAGTGAGTTGCGGTTATAATGATAATGATGCAAAATGATGATGACAACGATGACAGTGTGTGACATACTCTCTTTTGCCTCCTGCTCTCACTCACCCCTCCTACCGTTTGTCAAGTCGATGCGTTTCTCACCGAGAAAGAGAGATAGAAGATGAGCTTGAAGGAGAATTTCCGGAGGTCTTTAAAGCCCAGGTAGCAGAGGACGATGAATCCCGAGCCGAGGAAGGAGAACGCGGAGGCGACGACATTGATAAGCGTCAGCGTGCGGGTCTCCTCTGTAGTTAATCCCTCAATCATGGTGCCGGGTAATGCACGCTCCTAAGCTCGCTCAGCTGCTGCTACTGCTCCTCCTGCTGCTGCTGCTGCTGCTGCTGCTGCTGCTGCTGCTGTTGCTGAAAGTGATGGAACGAGGATGAGGGAACGGGTTGCCGCTGCTTTAGCGCGTCTGAAGTGTAAGGGGTCCGCGGGCGGCGACTGGAAGAGAGACAAGACTTGAATGCGAATTGAGACGATGACGGGGAATGACGCGTTGAGAGAGATGCGGCACCTGAATGCGAATTCAACGGTCTGTAAAACGACTCATCATCGTACTTTCCGACACCGAAGAAAGGTGTGATTAGGCGAAGCGGTTTGTGGCATTCGCCAAATTATCGTCTGGTTTGCTGTCAGCTACTTAAGTGTTGCTGCGACTCGCAAGTAGGTTCCACCTGTAAAGCAAATCTTTTTGTCGAGAGCCGGCGTTTTCTTCTTGCAGATAATTATCTTGCCACGCTCGCTGCTGGTCAGCTCGGACGCCCAAGCATCGGCCGAGATTCAACTGGAATCGTGGGACTCGTAAAATGGTATGTTGGTGATAGCCAAGCAAACAAGAAATACAGGTGACATGCAGGTTGGGGAGTAAAGATTGGGTAGGGGGAAGAAAGTTCAGATGACAAAACATTGTCAGAACCGAGGCAAGGAAGGCTACGGCGAAAGGGTTACTGGTCTCGGTGAAGGTTACGAACCAAAATGTCGTTAACACATACAAGCACATACTAACTGTCATTTACAATATCAAACATCGATCAATGAGAAATATTTGTTTGCTGAAAGTGCTTCTTTGATGTTGTCAGCAAACCATTAGTTATGGACTAGTGTCCCTCACACACACCTCGAAGAAAGTGTAGTTAGTGGCACCTTGAAAAGTGACACATACCAAGCCAGACAAGCTGCTTGGTGTTGTTGTGCACTCACCTATACCAAAAATGCTCTAGTACTGATACGTTAGATCCTAGGTTAGATATTTCACTAGTTAACGCCAACTATACCACTGTGCGGTGAGATAATCAGAACCAGGGATGCCACGTGGGATCCATCATGCACAGATTCTCTGGCTTAAGTGCTGCTTCCACCAGCTCCATGGCCCCCTGCTGCACTGACCGTAACTCTGGCACATCGCTCTGCACAATGGCATTATCAGTCAGGACAACAGAGATGGGTAGTGTTGCAAAGAAGAGGGAAGGGAGGGTGGGGGTGATGGTGCAGGGTAGAGAATGGGGTGAGAACATTTGGCAATGGCAAATTAGGTTAGGAGGCAAGAACCAGAGAAAAAGATAAAAGCAGCATCACCACGACCTTCTGAAACAGAGAGTGGCCAACCAACCACAGAAAGTACACAACATGTGCCCCACTAAAAAAATCCCCAAAAAATGCAGCAAGCAGCCCCCATTTACCCCACGCACCTGCAGAATCTCGCTGGCAGCAGCGGCAGCAGCAGCAATGGCTCCCACGTAGCTCTGCGGTGCGACACGCTGCAGGCGACGCCACACGCTCTCCACGTTGGCCGCCACCTTGGCCTTGAGATCCGCCGTTGCTATGCTGCCACTGCTGCTGGCTGCTCCCGGCGGGCCCAGGGACGGGGGTCTGCGCCACGACCAGGAGATGAGCTCGTCCCGGAAGAACATGGCAAAGTGATGCCTCATGTCATGCCGCTGTGGGGTGGGGGGGAGGGGGAGCGGGAAGAAGGGGAGAGGGGGGTGAGGGAGAAGGGAGGGATGAGAGGAGGAGCGAGAGAAACAGGTGAAGAAAACACCGGGAAAGGAGGAGGTGATAGAAGGACTGACAGATAGCAGGAACTTTGAAAACGTCTCAAAAGGTATGTATGTAAGCAGGCACTGCTGTTGGGCTAAGCAGCTGGTGCAAGTGATGGCCCCATGATGAGGAGCAGCTGGGCTAAGCATTGAGGAGCAGCTTAATGGCCCCATGATGAGGAGCAGCTGGGCTAAGCATTGAGGAGCAGCTTAATGGCCCCATGATGAGGCATTACAAAAACCGTGGCGCAGGCAGTACCTTGGGGGCAAGGATGGCGTGAGGTGACTTTTGAGTCGACTCAAAAGTCACCTCGGCCCCATGATGAGGCATTACATAAACCGTGGCGCAGGCAGTACCTTGGGGGCGAGGATGGTGTGGGCAGCAGCACAGAGGGCGGACATGAAGATGCCGAGCGTGCCAAAGGGCGTGAAGAAGGTGTGCAGGTTGCGCGTGAGGCGGAAGGGCACCGGCTCCTGACACTCCACCATGCCGTTATGGTCGTATGCTGGTCGCAGGGGAAGAAACCGGTGCAGGGGAAGGGACAGAGGAAGAAAGCAGCGGAAGCATGAGTTAGGTGAGTCAACGAGCAAGCGGACAGATACAGGAAAGCAACCAACCGAACGCAGTAGCAAAGCACAACAATACTCTGACTTCCAACAGAGCCCTGCCCTGACTGTGACCAGCATGCAGCTAAAAAAGCACGGGTGCACAACAAGCCGTGGGTCCGTCCTTGGACTGACCTGGATGGAAGTCGTTCTGGAAAATCTTGCCGGTGTTCCTCGCAAAGAGGGCTTTGCTGGGCGAGTTGTGTTATGAGTCGACTCAAAACACAAACTGACCTGGATGGAAGTCGTTCTGGAAGATCTTGCCGGTGTTCCTCGCAAAGAGGGTCTTGCTGGGCGAGCGCCCTCCTATGTGCAGCAGGAACGACACGCACCCCGACAGCGCCAGCTGCGACGCCAGCTGCCGCTTGAACGTCCACAGGTGCGACGACGACGGCAGCGACTTGTACACAAACTGGGACATGATGTTTTCAGATACCAGATGGGCTGTGATCTCGCGGTACGATCTCAGCCGTAGAGCCACCAGCCGCTCCCCTGACAGCTGGTTGATGATCGCGGCGTTGAGATCGTGCTTGAATTTCGCGATCGGGAGGTCTGCTTCCCGGTTGTAGCGCGCGCAGTTCATCGCGTAGACCTCCGCGAAGGTACAGTAGGTTACGTCGTCCTCCACCAGGCGAACCTGAGGCCACACGGGCACGATGATAGGCGTGTGGAACGCCAGGTTGCGCCGCCGCGTGTCCCGGTGCTTCAGCAGCGCTGCCCGGTTGATGGACCGCAGCAGCTGCACCGTGCGCTCGTCGCTGCGTGCCGACGGCGTGAGGGACGTCTGGACCAAAAAGTGCTTCTGAGACCCGTCGCTGCCCACGAGAGACAGCCGCCGGTGGCTGCTGCCGTGGCGGCGGATGATTGGCACGTCTGGAGCGATACGATCGAGCTTGACTGCATGCTCTGGCGGCACATCCTGGTCGTTAAAGTACTGTCCTGGCACCTCTATGTCCATCACGTTCCACTCCCGCAGCTGCCGGCTCTCCTCCTCTAGCTTCAGCACCGCTGGTAACCGCTCTTCGATGTTACGCTGCAACACCCCCTCCCAGTGCTTGAGCGACGCTGTGAGGTCGGCGAGGGACTTGGGGAAGGTATCGGTGGATTCCGGGTCGAGAGACCGTTCGAACTCGCGCTTGTACTCGTTCACAAACTCGGTGTGCTTGGTGACTGTATCAGACGAGAAGCACGCGCGGCAGACGCCAGACAGCTCTTTTTTGAGTGACAGAGGCACCTCGGCGGTGGTGGCGGTGGGGTAGCGGTAGCAGCGGTGCAGCAGCGCGTGCACGACAGCGAGTAGGCGCTCCTCTGGGAGAGGCACAAAGCGTACGCCGATCTCTGTGAGCATCACCTCTAGCTCTGACGCCAGGCTGCCATACTTGGTGCGCAGCGCCTCCATCACTTCCATTGCTGCTTCGAATGCCATCACCGCTGCTGCCTGCCAGCTGCTTGTGCCAGCACTGTTACTTCCGGTACCAGCAGCAGCGGCGGCGGCCGCCGCAGCGGCGGCGGTGCCAGCAGCAGCGCCAGATGCGCCTCCCCCAGGTGCACCTGCAGCGGCTGAGCGCCGGGCAACGCCCACCACCGGCCCACCTGCTGCCAGTGCCGTTGGCGGCGCCGCCGTCGCCGCCGCTGCTGCTGCTGCTTGGCCAGGGGCAGCTGCTGATGCCGGCCTGGCCCCGCCCCCAGGGTTGTAGGGCGGGCCAGCATCATTCGATGCAGCAGACACGGCTGTTCGCGACTCTGACATGGCCGGCACAGCCCTTGCTGCTGCACCCACTGGCCCTCCTGCTCCCGCTCCTCCTCCTCCTGCTCCCCCTCCCTGCCCTCCCCCAGTTGCACCTCCCCCAACTACCCCTCCAGCAGCGCCTACACCCGTGTGCGGCCCTGCAGGGCCTGCTGCTCCCAGCACAGCCCCACCGCCGGTGCTGCCTGCTGCTGCAGCCGCCCCCCCTGCTGATCCCACGTTACTCGCTCCAGTGCCAGCAGCACCACCGCCTGTACCAGCTCCTGCACCCTGCCCTCCTGCCCCTGCTGCTGCTGCCGCTGCAGCCGCTGCCGCAGCTGCTGCTGCTGCAGCGTGGGGGCGAGCTGCTGCTCTCTGTGCCACGTCTCTGCGCTCAAGGACGTGCGTGCGCAGCCAGTAGTAGAGTGCCTGGTGTGCATGAAAACGGGTGTGGGGATGGAAAAAGAAGGAACCACTTTTGAGGCACCTCACAAGGAGATCTCTGCGCTCGAGGACGTGCGTGCGCAGCCAGTAGTAGAGTGCCTGGTGTGCACGGGAGAGTGGGCGGACGCAAGCAATTGTTTCAGAGGGCCAGGGGGGGTCAAATAGGTTGGCTTGTAGCTCCAGAGAGGTTATAAATAAGCAAACACGCATCAGCTCACTTGTGTGGCAACATGTAAGGAGAGCACAGCAGACTCGTTGAGAGCCAGTGGACGGATGTGCAGTGTGCGTACGGTAAACGGCACGGCAGCATACCTGGGGGTAGGACGCAGCAAGGCGCAGGAGAATGGCCTTGGCATGGGGCATCTCGGGGCGCTGCAGCGACAGCAGCAGCTGCGGCAGCCAGGCGAGCCACACCCAGTTGGGCACATTATCAGCGTGCTTATCAAAGGCACGTGCCACCGTGCCCTCTCCATCCTCAAAGGATAACAGGTACAGCACGCGCGACAGGAACGTGCGACCGCGCGGCGAGCCGTACGTGATGCTCTGGAAGTAGCAGGTGACTGCGTACTCTAGCCAGACCGCCACGCCCGTACTCTGCCACACCTGGTCGCAGTAGCACGCCCAGCTGAGCCACCCTCTCGGCGAGCTCTTGCACAAAGATACCGACGTGGAGAAGGCCACGTGTGCGCCGTCCCCATCGCCCATGCGCCGCAGAAACTCGCCCTTGAGCCGGAATATCTCGGCCTGCAGCGGATGCGGGAAGTAATCCAGCCGCGTCACGTTGATCAGGTTCAGCCCCGTGAGGAGCTTCCCCCCGCCTTCCCGCATCTCCATGTAGGCTTTAACTTGCTCGCGGATCTTGGTGAAGGCCTCTTGGACTTCCATGGTCATGTAGCCGTAGAGGGTGTTGAGTAGGCGCACACATGTGCTTCCTAGCCCGTGGTGGCGGGCAACGGAGGCGAGACGGTTCACGCTCCATGCCTTGTCGCGGAAGCCAAGGGAGCGCAGGTCGGGACTGGTTTCCGGCAGGGACTGTTGGTGGGAGTGGGTGGGAGAGGAGTGGGGTGGGGGGGGAGAGGCAGGACGGACGGAGGGTTTGGTGTGAGGTGATGAGGCATGAGGCAGTTTGAAGGTGCGGGTCAAGGGGGGGTGGGGATGGTGTGAGGCAAGAGATGCATGAGGAGAGGAGAAAAGAAAGGAGGATAGGAGAGGTGCAACAAGACACACAGAAGGAAAGGAGGAGGAAAACGGGAGAGGAAACGGAAGCAGCGGTTGGTGGTCAGGTCAATCGCAGTACGTCAAGAGAGGAGATGATGAAGGAGTAGACGTGGTTGCGCCACTGCAGCACGTCGCTCCACACAGCCACCTCCTCCCACTCGTTGGGCACTCTAATTCGCCACGTATCCAACACATCTTTGAGCTGTGTGAACGCATACGGCGCCGACGCCCCCGCCCCTCCTGCCCCACCCCCAGGGCCGCTCCCGCCTGCTCCCCCCGCTCCTCCTCCTGCTGCTCCTGCAGTGCCTGCTGCAGCGGCGGCGTCGCGTGAGCCGGCACCGTGCATGGCCATGAGCTTGTGGTGCTTGGCGCCCGCTGCTATGTCCAGGCGCACGCGTGCTGACTCCTGCAGCTCCACCAGGCGCTGGAACTGTTGCAGTAGTGGCAGGTGCGGCTGCACGCCCACCACCGGTAGCTGCCACCACCTGCTAAGCGCCAGTGACACCCCCTGCATGTGGCAAAAACCGTTTCGCAGAAGCGAGTACAAGGGATTAGGGTTAGGAGAAACGAGGGATGGGAGGTGGGCGGGGGTTGGCTTGTTGTCCTTGAACAATGATTGAGACAAAGAAGAGGAGACACAATTCTGGATGTGCATCTGCGAACAGCACACCACCATGAATTGTCTCCTCCCTCCCTGCAATCAACCCCACCCGGCCAAACCCCCAAGCCCCTTGAGCCCCCAGAAACCCTCTGCCATCTCCACAGTCAGCCTACCAGCGAGATGAGCTGGTCCGCCTCCTGGATGCTCTCCAGCGTGCCCTCCTGCAGCTTGCAGTACGCGCGCACAATCGCCACCCGCGGGCTCTCCTCCACCTGTGCCTTGGGCAGCACCGTATCCCGCAGCAACGCCCAGTTACCCCGCCGCCACTCCACATCCAGCAACACCTGGTAGTTATCCACCTCTCTCCCAAACTCCGATAATACATCCCACTGGCACAGCTGCCGGGCGGACGCAAGCCACTGCTCCTCCCAGAGGGACTCCTCGGCCTTGCCGACTTCGTGGTTGGTGAAGCCGCTGTGCTGCCAGCGGGCCATGGCGCGGGAGAGCACCTCCTGCGCCTCGCGCCAGAAGCCGTGCTGCTGGAGGGCCAGCGCCACGTGGGTTTCTTGTGCTGCCTTGCGGCTGCGCCACAGCCCGTGCACCATGTCCGCGTCGTTCAGCAACCTGCGGGCAGGTGTGTGGGGTGCGGGATGAGCGGAAGATGTAAGTGAAAGTGTGTTTTTGAGGTGCCTCAAGAACTCGTACCGCTTCGCAGCTGCGCCACAGCCCGTGCACCATGTCCGCGTCGTTCAGCAGCCTGTAGAATATGGCGCGACATGCGGTGTGGGATGAGTGGAGGTAGGAGTGGTGAGACATCGCACTTTGCCCCGATGTAAATTCCTGGACATTTCCATGGCACATCACCCCTTGCATTGCATCCCCTCATGTTTCACTCGTGTTACCCACATGTACATGAGATGCATGCACATACACGACCGCATGCACCTGTAGAGCTCAGCAAGGGCATCGAAGCAGCGGGCGTCCTGTGGGAACATGGAGACATGGCTCTCGAGCAGCGGGATGGCCACGTGCCACGCGTTGAACGTGCGCCCCAGGTACTTTATCACCTCCGATGGGATCTTGGGCTGCGGCTGACTCAAACTGCTCACCAGGGCATGGGGCACAGGGCATGGGGCACAGGGCATGGGGCACAGGGCATGGGGCACAGGGCATGGGGCACAGGGCATGGGGCACAGGGCATGGGGCACAGGGCATGGGGCACAGGGCATGGGGCACAGGGCATGGGGCACAGGGCATGGGGCACAGGGCATGGGGCACAGGGCATGGGGCACAGGGCATGGGGCACAGGGCATGGGGCACAGGGCATGGGGCACAGGGCATGGGGCACAGGCACGGGGCACGGGCACAGGGCACGGGGAACGAGGCACGGGGCACAGGGCAGAGGATACCAGTGGGGATATGAGACCGCCAGTGGACCATGGCCGAATGGTGGACAGCTAACCTGACTGGACTTGTCAACACTAGAGTCCAAAGCTCTCAACCCACTGCAGAAACACATATCCTTAACCCCCACCCACCCACACCACATGATCCAGTGCAACGAACCACCAAAACCAGACATCCAGAGCAGCACCACCTGTACCCGCGCCCACCTGATGCCTTCGAGCAGCGCCTGCACGACGTTGGGGCGGCGGTGCAGCTGGTGAAAATGGTACTCGCGGGACAGCAGCGCAATCATGGGCTTGGCCAGCTGCACCTGCTCGTCCTTGTGCAGCGACGCCCACACAATCGGAAACACCAGCACCCACAGATGGTACGCAACAATGGGCTCTTCTACAGACATCTCCTGGAGGGGGCGTAGCAGGTCGGAGACTTGCAGGCGGAGAGAGTCGTTTATGAACTTGGTGTGCTTTGCTACAAGCGAGTTGAACGACAACCGCCCGCCTTCCGCTTCCTCGGAACCTGCTCCCTCCACGCCCGCGCTTCCGCTCCCACTCCCTCCCCCTCCCCCTCCCCCTCCCCCTCCACCTCCCCCTCCTCCCCCTCCTCCTCCGCCCGACACTCCCCCTGAGATCCCAGCAGCAGCGGCAGCGTGCAGAGGCACGCCCCCAGCAGGCATGAGCGGGGGCAGCTGCGCGGAGTTGGGAGCAAGCGTGACGCTGTCCCGGTCGATAAGAATAGCTAGCAGCAGGTCGAGCGCGTGCTTGACCCAGAAGGAGTCTGCGAGGGCCTCCCAGCTCTGCCCGTGGATGATGAACTGCAGGCGCGTGCACAGCTGCCGCCCTATGGCGTCGTTGTAGAGGGAAAAGAACTTGGCGCGGAGGGTGGGGGAGCGCGAGCGCAGGCCCAGCATGAAGACGCGCTCTACCTTTTGGAAGACCTCCTGGCGGATTGGCGTGGGGTACCTGGTGATGAGGAACGGGGGGGAGGGGGTTGCATGCAGGTGGGGGGAGAAATGGCAAGGTAAGATGTGACATTTTTTGCTGACAGGAGGGCAGCTGCAGGAATGCGGTCAGAGGAGACACAATGAAGGTACGAGTGCGTGATTCTGAGGTGCTGAGAGAACAAGATTAGGAGGGGATGGGAGCTGAGAGGAAAGACGTGAGCGGAGATGCAGGGAAGGGGGAGGGAGGGAGGTGTGACCTGGAACAGTCGGAGCAGAGGGAATAGAGCAAGCCCAGTCCCAAAAACTTGCCCTTCAGTCCCTCGCTGGCTCACTTGCTGTAGTGAGTCTCTTTTTGAGTCGACTCAAAAATAGATAGCAAGGCAGCAAGGGGAGCTGGGAAGGAGGTCACCTGGAGGAGTCGGAGCAGAGGGAGTAGAGCAGGCCCAGGAACTTTCCCTCCCAGTCCCGCGCTGGCTCAATTGCTGACCCTGATGATGAGGAGTCTGCACTGGGTTGGGCCTGGGGAAGAGAGGAAGACAAATCGGGCGAGGAGGTATGGCGGGTGGTGAGTGCAGATATGAGAGTCGACAAGAAGAGCTGAGAGGTTATGAGCAGTGCTGAGAGGTGATGACACGTTGCCACCCATGCATCATCGCGTCCGGTACTTCGCCCCTGTCAGACCTCACTCCCTGCTTCCTCACTCTCTGTTAACCCCAATCCCTCCCACGCCCCACTCCCCTCCCACCAAACCCTACTTCTCCCTCCTTACGCACCCTCCTCCCCACCCCCATCACCCCAATTGCGCACTCACCCCAGCTGGCAGGGCAGGCGAATCAGTGGAGGCAGCAAGCGCAGCAGCGGAGGAGGCGCGGGAGGAGCGCGAGGGGGCGAAGTGGAGGTGGCAGAGGCGGCGCTCCTTGGTGACGAGGGCGAGCTTGTACAGGAAGTTGACCACGTCCCGCGCGTTCAGCATGCCCGTGTATACCAGCTCCGCCTGCTGCTGCGCTCCCCGAACCACCGCCACCCTGTGGGGGAAGGGGGAGGGGGGACAGGAAGGGGAGAAGCGGGGGAAAGGAAGGGGGAAACGGGGGGAAGGGGATGGGGAGGAAAGGGGAGGGAGGGAGTCATGAGAGGGAGAGAGCATACTGAGGAGCAGCAGCAGGGCGCACCTGAACTCATTATCCACCCATCGGCTCTCCATCTCCGGGATGGAGAGAACAGAGACGAATTCCAAGGCGCAAAAAAAAAAAAAGAAAAAAAAAGAAGAAGGAAAAAAGACCTTTCGACATGACCAGGAGCAGCAGCAGCACACACCTGAACTCTGTGTCCACCCATCGGCACACAATCTCCAGAATGGACAGCAGCACCGCCGGGTCCGTGGCTCGGTCCGTGAGCAGGCTCTGCAGCAGCAGCCCAAACTGGCGCCGGCAATCCGTCACATACAGCACACGCCGTCCCAGCAGCTCAAGTGCGTCACACAGATTATCCACCCCCGCCGCTATCAACCCCGGCCCCTCCTCCTCCCCACCCGCCCCACCCGCCCCGCCTGCCCCGCCTGCCCCTCCCCCAGCACCGCCAGCACTGCCTGCAGCAGCGCTCCCTGCTGTTGCGGCTGCTGCGGCTGCACTGAAGCTGCCGGATCCTGCCCCTGCCAATGCTGCCAGGCCTGGGGATGGCGGCTTGCCTCGCCCGCCCCCTGCTGCTTCATCTGCCTGTGCATCTCCTGTCTGCAAGGATGGAACGGTGGGGATTTTGACACATAATGAGTGGGGATGGTAGGCGTGTGATAAGGTTGGGATGGGTGGAATGGAACGCGTAGTGGATTACAGGGTACCGAATTACCCAAAAAAAGTGTGGAAAGAAAGAAAAGCAGATGCCCAAGCAAGCAAGCGAGCAAGACAGGCATGTGACGAGCGGCAAAGCATTTGGCTGGTACGCACCAAGCCAGCAGCCGGGCCTGCAGCAGCAATGCTGCGAGAGAGGTGGAGGGCCGTGGGCACGAGCACAAGCAGCAGCCGGTCCACTATCTGCTGCTGCTCTGTTGCTGCCAGCGTGTGCAGCACTGCCAGGGACGCTCTTATAGCAGCATTATTGGCGGCGGACAGAACGGCCGGAGCAGAAGAAGCCGAAGGCAGAGTGGGAGTGGCACTTCGGGCCATGCCGGCTGCTGCTCCTGCCACTCCAGCAGGTGTACCTGCACCAGGTGCACCTCCCTGAGGAGTGGATGCGCCTGCTGCATGTGCTATGCCAGCAGCACCAGCAGCACCAGGACGGGAGGCCAAGGGAGGGAGACCGGGTGTGCCTGCTCTACCCTGCTGTTGCTGCTGCGGTTGAGGTGGAGGCATGGCACCTGATCCTGCTGCCCCGGCAGCAGAGCCACCTGGGCCAGCAGCACCAGGAGTTTGCCCAGGTGCTGCAGCAGCGGAGCCAGAGCCAGAGGCCTGAGGGGAGACAATGGACACGAGAAGCTTCTGTGTCACTTCCTCCACCCTCTGCGCCACAGCTGCTACCTGCTCTAAATATACCTCCCTTGCCGCTGGGTCGTCCTCTCGCCCCTTAGCCCCCTCCCCTCCTGCCACTGCTGCGGCTCCAGCAGCAGTAGCTGGAGCAGGAGCAGCAGGAGAGGGAGCAGCAGGGGAAGCGGAAGCGCCAGGGCCTGTGGCTGCGGTGCCGGCAGCAGCACGTGTGGCGGATGGAGGGGCGAGGGAGGCGGCGGTGGAAAAGAGCGTGCGGAGAATGCGGCACAGGCAGGCAATGACCTCCTTGGAGCGACTCCTCATGCACGGCTCTATGATCTGGGGAGAGCAGAGCACGCGGGAGAGCAGAGCAGAGGCGAGCATGCATGGAGTGGGACGGGTCATGGGAAAGACAAGGAGGTACCGGATGGCAGCAGTGAGGAGAAATGTTGTGAATCCAGACGGAGAGCGTTAACGGGGGCCCAAACAGGTGATTAACAAAGAGCTAGTGAATTTTGGCAAAAAGCTAGTGGATTTTCCCAGAGAGCTGGCAGAGACAGTAGAGAGCATGCAGAGATGAGGCAGAGATTCCTCACCTGAAGCACATGCACGGAGTTGTGGCGGAGGAAGGAAAGCGGGCTCTTGCGCAGGCACGTCTCAATGACCCCCATGCCTGTCAGCAGCGCCAGGGACAGGTCCTTGGTTGCCGCCCCCGCACCCTGTGCTGCCTTGCTTGCGCCTGCCTGCCCCTGCTGACTGGCGTCCCCTCCCTGAGGCAACAAATCGGGAACAAAGGCAAGGGGAGATGAGACGCGTGACACCGCATGGGCAGGGAAAATGGCTGGGAGGAAAAGGGCTTGTCTTGTATGAGGCATGGAGAGAAACAAGCAGGGACGAGGCATGAAAAGAAACAAGCAGGGACGAGGCATGAAAAGAAACAAGCAGGGACGAGGGATCGGGAGGAGGCAACTTTTTCAACGCCTAACAAAAACGAGACGTTTTTTAAAAAAGCGAGGCATGAGGAGGAGAGGAGGCACACACCTCTCCTGCGGCAGACTGCTGGGCCTTCTGCTGGGCTGCTGTCTGCTGCTGGTGCAGCGCTAACAGCCGCTCTATGTAGTTCACGCGAATGGTCGCCCAGGGCCACAGCTCCAGAGCCTCCTCCAGCAGCTGCAGCGCCTGCTGGTGCAGCGCTGTGGTGTCCTTGTCCTTGGGTTCTGATACGAATGCAAAGCGGATGAGGAAGTTGAGAACCATATCCTCCATGCCTGTGTGCGGCCGGAAATCGTCGTCCCCTGCTGCTGCACTCCCTGCCGCCCCTGCTCCTGCTCCTCCTCCTGCAGCTGCTCCTGATGCTCCTGCTGCTGCGTTTCCACCGGGTGTAGAGCCAGGTGCGGCACCTGGCCCCAGCACATGCCCCTCCTCCACCTTCATCCGCTTAGCACCACCACCTCCTTCCTCCTTCTCTTCACTCCCCCCTAGCACCCTCTTGCCTCCTGCTCCCCCTTGACCGCCCTCGCCACCCTCCGCTCCCCCCCCTACACCCGCACCCGCTGCCCTACCAGCTGCTGCTGCAGCAGCAGCAGCGGCGGCAGCTTCGTTGTCGCGACGCTTCTTCTCCCAATTCACCACAAGCCCTGCAAGGTCCACCGCCAGCCGCCGATTCTCCAGCGAGCTGTTCAGAGGCAGCGCGAGGCGCTGCAGCGAGTGCACCATCTGGGGCAGGAACTGGGCGCGCGAGGGGTAGAAGAGGTCCGCATGGCGCACGATGAGCTGGAAAATATGCACCAGGTGCGCGATTGAGTATCCTTCCTCCACCAGGATTTTCTTGGTGTAACGAATCCACAGCGGCATCTTCTGGTCGCCCTGGGGCAGCCGGTTGGGGAGAGCCGGCATGAGCACGTCGAGAGACTGCTTCACCAGCAGCCGGGTTTCCGGCTGGCACGCGCGCAGCAGCGCGACAAACACCTGCAGGATGATTTTCTCGGGCGCCTGGTACGCGTCGAGGAAGTGGCAGACGTTCACAAACGCCCACTGCTTGCTGCTGCTGTCCTCGCGCTTGAGGTGGTTCCACCCGAACTTGATGAGCTCGCGCCGGTGCAGCTTCAGCTCGTTGGGCGTGTGGCGGATGAGTAGCGTTGCCAGCTGCAGCAGCTCGATTCGCAGCGGCTCGTCGTACTGCGCGCTCAGCTGGAATGGGGAGCAGGGAGGGATGTCACCGAATTTATTGGTGTTAGCAATGTATTCAGTTACTCGCTTGTGGGGTGTAGGTGAATCATTATAATTACTGTAGAAGTTGGGTCGGGGTTGAGTTCTTAGGTAGTGAGTGACGCGAGGGTGTTGGCAAAAGGGCGCTGCGAGGAGCAAGGAGGAAGATCTCAAGGGGCATTGGACATTGGGCAGCTGGAAGTCCTGTGACTCGTGCCCGAGCAGCTCGAGCACAAGCACAGGAGGGGGCAGGTAGTGGCTGAGAACGCAGAAGGGAACAGGGGAACAGGAACAAGACAGCAACAGGGATGAGAAGAAGAGGGCAGCAGGAGTAAGAGGGATGGTAGCAGGTGACGCAGAAGTTCCGACAGGGAGGGAGTGGGCGCAGTGGAGGAAAGAGGGAAGCAGGGGACTCAAGTATGTAACGTTGTGGGGGTAGTGGTTTAACAGTAGCATCGAACAGCTACTCATTTTCATCCTACCCCCACCCCTCCTCCATCCCCTGCATTCAACCCTGTATGACCCCACCGCGGCCCTCACCTCTTCAGGCGGGTCGAGCAAGCGGTCGACAATGGTGCGGATGACAGTAGCATCGAGCAGCTCAGGGCCATGCCCATGGCTGAGAGAGTGCGAGAGCATGGGCATGATGAGCAGCTGTAGCGCCGTCACCATCGCCTCCTGGTGCGCTGCCGGCATCACCTGGCTCACCGCCCCTCCTGCTGCCCCTGCTCCTCCTGCTGCCGCTGCTGCCTGCCCGCCTGCCTGGCCTGCTGCTGGCGGCTGGGCGGGGTTGGTGAGGATTCCGCCCTGGTACAGCACGAGGAAGCGCAGCAGCACCAGCTTGCGTTGCTGTGGCGTGTACGTCTCTGGGAGCTGAGAGTGGTTGACCGGGGGGGCCAGAAGGGTGGCAGATGGGGGAGGGAGTGAAGGGGGAGAAATGGGGGGGTGGGGTGGGGTTCCCAGGTTTGAAAAATTGAGGAGTGGAGTGGAGTGAGCATCAGGTGTGGGATACACGCCGCCACGGCGACAATCCTTGGAGCAGACATGTGAGTATTTTTGAGCCACGGCGCCTAAAAAATCGTCTCAAAAATCGTTTTGAGGCGCCTCAAAAAAAGCCACCACAGCAACGATCCTAGGAGCAGACATGAGAGTAGCTACCACAGGAGGTTTCTGAAACGGCTTGGAACATCACAAGAGCAGGCAGCGCAGGAGTGAAACCTGCCTGGAGCATGAAGAAGCGCTTGAGGAAGGCGGCGTAGTCAATGTGTGTGCGCTGACGGAAGTGAACTTTTGAGTTGACTCAACAGTCACCTCGTTCGTTACAATGGCACGTTGACTCAAAAGCCACCTCATAGGATAGGAGCATTGCGGACCTGCAGCATGAAGAAGCGCTTGAGGAAGGTGTTTCGATGCGCGTGCGCTGGCGGGCGAGGCGACTTTTGAGTGGAAAGTCAAAAGCCCCCTCGTTACCAACGGCACGTTACCTGCAGCATGAAGAAGCGCTTGAGGAAGGTGTAGTCGATGCGCGTGCGCTGGCGGAAGTGACTTTTGAGTTGACTCAAAAGTCACCTCATAGGAGCATTGCAGAACGGACCTGCAGCATGAAGAAGCGCTTGAGGAAGGTGTAGTCGATGCGCGTGCGCTGGCGGAAGATGGCGAGCAGCGCAAACAGCACATCCACCTCCTCCCGGTTGTGCTTCACGTAGTTGAGAAAACACTTGGCCAGCCACTTGCTCTCCTTCACCTGCTCAGCACACCAAACACGCCGCCACATTACATGCGTGAGCCCCCATGCATACCCACCCCCACATACACGATCATTCACTCGCACCCATTTCCCCGGCCCCGCAACCCCTCAGGCCCGCAATCCAGAGCACCCCCTTCCCCCTCCCCCTTTCAACCCTCACACACACGCCCGTGCACGCACACTCGACGGCAAAAAGAAGGCCAGGCCACGTAGACACACACACCAAACAGACTTTAGCTTGAAGTTTTCGAGACATGATGCACCAGCTGATGAATGCATGCATTTGCGGAGATAAAAAGCCATGATACTACCATTCTGTACCAAGCAAGCAGTGAGAACTATCTATTACCACCACGCTATGACAACCCACGCACCATGCACCACTAACTATGCAGCAAGCAGCAAGCACGCGGGCAAGCCCACCCACCATGTGCAGAGGCAGGTCCTGTTCGCGCATGAGCCGCTGCTTGCGTGCGGGCGAGTGCCAGAGATGCAGCAGCGCCTCGAAGATCTGCCGCTGCCCTCCTAGCCAGTCCGGCAGCAGCTTCACCAGCGCCCGCACCAGCGCTATCCCGTTCATCTGCACCTCCACCTCTGCACGCACCGGCCGTGTGGGCCGGAGAGGGAAAACGGAGAGAAGAAAGCAACAGAGGGATACGGGTGGGGAGGGGACTTTTGAGGCGCCTCAGAAGGCTTCACCAGCGCTCGCACCAGCGCTATCCCGTTCATCTGCACCTCCACCTCTGCACACACCGGCCACCACGTGGGAGGAAGTGGGAAAATGGAGAGAAGACAGCCGCAGAGGGATGCGGGTTGGGAGCCGGAGGGGAGAGAGATGAGGGAGGGAGGAGTGGGTTGGTGGTCAGGGATGGAAGAGGGCAGTGGCAGGAAAGTAAGTGCAAGCAGGGAGACTTTTGAGTCGACTCAAAAGTCACCTCGTTATGGGGCAGCAAGGGGGTGTCGAGGGTGCGCAGCAGCAGGTGGCTTTTGAGTCGACTCAAAAGGATGGAAGAGGGCAGTGGCAGGAAAGGAAGTGCAAGCAGGGAGGACAACAAGAGCAGTACATGGGATGGGAGGAAAGAGGGGATGTGGGGAAGGAGGAAAACGGGGGTAGGGGAGGTGGGAGGGGGGAAAGGGAAGGGGGAGGGAGGGAAGAAGCGCAGGTGTTGGTTGGCACGGCCAAGGACATGACTGGAGACTGCGTGTTTGAAAATTCTCAAAAGCTTGCTATGGTGCACCCACCTTGGGCGGGAGTGAGCGGGTGGGCGGGCTGAGGCAGGTCTGTGAGCCCCAGCGACGGCGCTACAGACCGGAACGCAGCACCGATGATCTTATTGGGCGAGCGCGCTAGCTCCTCCCTCAGCGGCATGCCGGTATCCGACCGTATAATGGCGAGGAAGCGGCGGAAGAGAGCCGGCTGGCTGAGCCGCGCTAGAAAGTAGTCCACTGACTCGTGCGAGTAGCGGTTGAGGAACTTGGTGAGTGGTTGCAGGTAGGGCGAGTTGAGGTCGGAGAGGAGGGAGGTGGGCGGGAGTGCGGCCTCCAGCTGCATGCAGAGGTGGACTAAGTCGTCGAGGAACTTCACGGCTTGCGATGGCAGCAGGTGGAATAGCTCCAGGATCGCTGCGGATGGGGAAAAGGGGGGGACGGGTGAGTTTTTAGTTCACTCAAAAAGCGCGGTCTCGAGCTGCATGCACAGGTGCACCAGGTCGTCGAGGAACTTCACTGCTTGCGATGGCAGCAGGTGGAATAGCTCCAAGATTGCTGCGGATGGAGGAACGGCGTGATGGATGGAGTGGGGAAACAGGAGGGGGGGGGCGGGTGGGAGAGGGGGGTTACCGGTACGCAGAGAGGGATGTATAGGGGAATAGCAAGGACAGGAGACATGAGACATGCGGAACCGGGAAAGGGAAAGGATTAGGAGCTAGACTGCGCAATGCACAGCGAGGCAGTGCATGCTCACCAGCAGCTATCTTGGGCTCTTCCCCTGGCCGCCACGCTCTCTGCCACTGCGCGGGCCCTCTGTCGGGCTCCAGCATCTTGGCCAGGTAGTCCTTGAGCTTGTCGCCCAGGGTCACGTTGAACCAGTTGGACAGCAGCTCCAATAGTCGCGCCAGGCCCTGTGCGAGTCATGGGTGGACGGAAAAAGCAGAGGGGGGACGGGCAGTGGAGGGGGGGTGTTTGAGGCTTCTTTCAAGAGATTTTGGCGTGGTAGTCCTTGAGCTTGTCGCCCAGGGTCACGTTGAACCAGTTGGACAGCAGCTCCAATAGTCGCGCCAGGCCCTGTGCGAGTCATGGGTGGACGGAAAAAGCAGAGGGGGGACGGGCAGTGGAGGGGGGGTGTTTGAGGCTTCTTTCAAGAGATTTTGGCGTGGTAGTCCTTGAGCTTGTCGCCCAGGGTCACGTTGAACCAGTTGGACAGCAGCTCCAATAGTCGCGCCAGGCCCTGTGCGAGTCATGGGTGGACGGAAAAAGCAGAGGGGGGACGGGCAGTGGAGGGGGGGTGTTTGAGGCTTCTTTCAAGAGATTTTGGCGTGGTAGTCCTTGAGCTTGTCGCCCAGGGTCACGTTGAACCAGTTGGACAGCAGCTCCAATAGTCGCGCCAGGCCCTGTGCGAGTCATGGGTGGACGGAAAAAGCAGAGGGGGGACGGGCAGTGGAGGGGGGGTGTTTGAGGCTTCTTTCAAGAGATTTTGGCGTGGTAGTCCTTGAGCTTGTCGCCCAGGGTCACGTTGAACCAGTTGGACAGCAGCTCCAATAGTCGCGCCAGGCCCTGTGCGAGTCATGGGTGGACGGAAAAAGCAGAGGGGGGACGGGCAGTGGAGGGGGGGTGTTTGAGGCTTCTTTCAAGAGATTTTGGCGTGGTAGTCCTTGAGCTTGTCGCCCAGGGTCACGTTGAACCAGTTGGACAGCAGCTCCAATAGTCGCGCCAGGCCCTGTGCGAGTCATGGGTGGACGGAAAAAGCAGAGGGGGGACGGGCAGTGGAGGGGGGGTGTTTGAGGCTTCTTTCAAGAGATTTTGGCGTGGTAGTCCTTGAGCTTGTCGCCCAGGGTCACGTTGAACCAGTTGGACAGCAGCTCCAATAGTCGCGCCAGGCCCTGTGCGAGTCATGGGTGGACGGAAAAAGCAGAGGGGGGACGGGCAGTGGAGGGGGGGTGTTTGAGGCTTCTTTCAAGAGATTTTGGCGTGGTAGTCCTTGAGCTTGTCGCCCAGGGTCACGTTGAACCAGTTGGACAGCAGCTCCAATAGTCGCGCCAGGCCCTGTGCGAGTCATGGGTGGACGGAAAAAGCAGAGGGGGGACGGGCAGTGGAGGGGGGGTGTTTGAGGCTTCTTTCAAGAGATTTTGGCGTGGTAGTCCTTGAGCTTGTCGCCCAGGGTCACGTTGAACCAGTTGGACAGCAGCTCCAATAGTCGCGCCAGGCCCTGTGCGAGTCATGGGTGGACGGAAAAAGCAGAGGGGGGACGGGCAGTGGAGGGGGGGTGTTTGAGGCTTCTTTCAAGAGATTTTGGCGTGGTAGTCCTTGAGCTTGTCGCCCAGGGTCACGTTGAACCAGTTGGACAGCAGCTCCAATAGTCGCGCCAGGCCCTGTGCGAGTCATGGGTGGACGGAAAAAGCAGAGGGGGGACGGGCAGTGGAGGGGGGGTGTTTGAGGCTTCTTTCAAGAGATTTTGGCGTGGTAGTCCTTGAGCTTGTCGCCCAGGGTCACGTTGAACCAGTTGGACAGCAGCTCCAATAGTCGCGCCAGGCCCTGTGCGAGTCATGGGTGGACGGAAAAAGCAGAGGGGGGACGGGCAGTGGAGGGGGGGTGTTTGAGGCTTCTTTCAAGAGATTTTGGCGTGGTAGTCCTTGAGCTTGTCGCCCAGGGTCACGTTGAACCAGTTGGACAGCAGCTCCAATAGTCGCGCCAGGCCCTGTGCGAGTCATGGGTGGACGGAAAAAGCAGAGGGGGGACGGGCAGTGGAGGGGGGGTGTTTGAGGCTTCTTTCAAGAGATTTTGGCGTGGTAGTCCTTGAGCTTGTCGCCCAGGGTCACGTTGAACCAGTTGGACAGCAGCTCCAATAGTCGCGCCAGGCCCTGTGCGAGCGAGTCACGGACGGAAGGGGCAGGAGGGGAGAAAGGGGCGGTAGGGGGCTTATGAGACATCGGTGACGGCATCTTGGCCAGGTATTCCTTGAGCTTGTCGCCCAGGGTCACGTTGAACCAGTTGGGCAGCAGCTCCAGCAGCCGCGCCAGGCCCTGCGCGTGCGAGTCACGGGTGGAAGGAAGGAGGGAGCGTGAGAACAGGTCAATCTGGCAGAAGGGGAGACCTAGAGGCGCAGGGTGAACGAACCGAGAAGCAACGAGAAGACGGTGAAGTTGAGGTCGAGGGGAAGGAAGGGGGGTTGAAGGAAGCGGTCATATCACACCTGGAGCAGCGGCAGGTTGAGGGACTTGTAGTGGGCGAAGTGCACGAGGATGGGGCGCAGGCTGGACTGCAGAAGCTCCTTGGGCAGGCGCTGCTGCATGATCACCTGCCTCAAACCCTCTTTGGCCGCACTGACAATCTCGGGCGTGCGCAGCGTGAGCGACTTGAAGAACATGGCAATGATGCGCGAGCGCATGTCCGCGTGCCCAGGCGCCTTGCACTCGTCCCACGCCATGGCGGTGCAGAGCAGCTCAATGCATGCGGAGCGCAGGCCCGTGAGCACGGCGGCCTGCCGCCCTGTGAGGAACTTGGCGTGGAGAACCGCCTCGTCTGCTTCTGCTACGCTGAGGGCGTCCTGGAGAAGTGTGAGCAGCTCCGGGGTCAGGCGCAGGAGAGGCGGGCGGAGGGCCAGGCAGAAGTTGGCACACATGACCGTGCCCACCTGGGATGAGGGGGAGGGGGGGAGAGGAGTTAGCGTCGACAGAAATAAGGAGATGGGGGCGCGGCACTAGCTAGAAGTTGCCACACTTGATAGTGCCCACCTGGGATGACGGGGCGACGGGGAGAAGAGTGGAACGACGAGAGAGATTCATGCAGGTTAGCATGACACTCTTCTTGCGTTGCAGCAGACTGCATGCACAAACAAACACACTGCACGCATGCTCGCATGCACAACATAATGCACGCATGCACATACCTGCTGCTCCACATGGCGCGACCGCAGCGGACGGCTGAGAAGAGGAGCGAGCAGCGGCTGGTACGTGGGCTCGAGCAGCTCCGATACCTCGGAGCCCCTGCGCGACGCCAGCAGTGCCAGGCTGGCCTGCACGTTCTTGCGCACTACGCGGGGCGAGTTGGGGTTGAACAGCTCGACTGCCAGCACTTCCACCACGGAGCGGAAGCTCGCTGTGCGCTCCTCTGATGCTGTGTCGTCCATGCTGTTGGCCACTCGTAGTACTTGGGTAAGCACGTGGGTTGTCTCCTCTCGCTCCCTCACTGAGTGCTGCGGCAACCTCCGAAGCACGAAGAGAAGTGCACGGACTATGCGAGACTGGATGGGGGAGGTGGGAGGGGAGGGGAAGAGGGAGGGGAGCGGGAGGAGGGAGGAGGTGGAGGGGTGAGGATGAGGGGCACACAAGTGGGTAAGGTAACTGGGCCAAGCGGGGACATTACACACACAAGGCATCAATGTGCTGAGTTGCATTCTCGTCAATAACGCAAGACGCACCACGCCGATCCAAGAGCGGCGCAAGGAGTGCAACGCTCAGGCAGGCAGGCATGCAGACGGGCAGACGGGCAGGCGGGCCGGCAAGCACGCATGCACGTACGCACGCATCCACCATTCACAGCTCACCTGAAAGAGACTCAGCATGTCAACAGGGACCTTGCCAACGAGCGCACCCAGCCCCATCACCCCGCCAATCTGCTCATGCCACGCGAGCCCATAGCAGCAGTGCAGCAGGCGCGACAGCAGCTCCTCCAGCACAGGCACACTCAAACCCGGAGGCGCAGGCGCCACCACACTCATCGACGGGGACGAAACCATTCCCGGGGTGCCCGGCGTGGGGAGCACGGCAGGGATGGCGGTGCCAGCCTGGCGGCAGCGTGCCATGAGAATGACTGAGTCTGTGAAGGAGGTGAGTGCGGAGACGGCAGCGCGGGCATGCGCTCTGTTCTCTGATATGAGCACGGAGACCAGGGCATCTATGAAGATGATGGGGTCTAGGACTCGTAGGGAGGACTGCTGCTGCTGCTGCGTCTGCTGACTTTGCTGCGCTTGCTGCTGCTGCTGTGGCTGCTGCTGCTGCTGGGCCTGCTGCTGCTGCTGCTGCGTTTGCTGCGGCTGCTGCTGCTGCTGAGCCTGCAGCGGTTGTGCCTGTGGCTGCTGCCTCTGCTGCTGCTGCTGAGCAGGCATCGATTGGCCTTGGGGAGGCCGGCCAGCTTGCTGCTGCTGTGCTGCCTGCACCTGCACAGCTGCTCGTTGCTGTGCCCCTTGCACTCCTTGCACTCCTTGCACCCCTTGCACCCCTTGCGCCCCAGGCACTGTCACCCGCGAATCACCCTGTGCAGTGCCTTGAGTAGGGCGAGCAGGGCTTTGGCCAGAAGCAGGGCCCTGAACTGCTTGGCCTTGGCCCTGCTGTATCTGCCCACTCACGCCTTGGTTCACTTTATCGCCCTGTGGAGATGCCTGCGCCTGCGCCTGCACCTGCGCCTGTGCCTGTCCCTGTCCCTGTCCCTGTCCCTGTCCCTGTCCCTGTGCCTGTGCCTGCACCCGTCCCTGCGCCTGTGCTTGACCTACTGCTGTGTTTTGCGGGCCCACTGTCCCAGGGCTGGTCTGCACTGCTTCTGCTTTCACTGCACCTCCAGCATGCGGCCCTGCCGGCTGTGTGGTAAACACCTTCTTCTCCCCTGCTGCACCTAGTGATGCCCCTGCTTGCGCCTGCTGCAGTGCTGGTGGTGGCCGTGGCTGTGCTGTAGCTGGTGTGGGCTGTTGCGAAGGAGCAGCTGATGTCCCTGCCGCTTGCTGCACTGCACCCTGGGTCCCTGCTGCGCCTCCACCTTGCTGCACCACCGTACCTTGCTGTGCCACCACCTGCTGCTGTGACGGTGGCTGTTTAGGCCCCTCTGATGCTGGCTGTGCTTTCTGCACTGTTTGCACTGGCTGCACTGCGGATGCTGCTGGGGTTGGTACCAATGGTGGTGACGGTGTTGGTGCCACAGGTGTTGCCGATGGTGGCTGCACAGGCTGCTGTGCTTGTGCCTGCTGCTGCTGGCCTTGCACAGGTTTGACAGGTGATTGCTGCGTCCCAACCACCTGCTCAGCTTTCACCTCCTTACTCCCCTCTCCTACATCTTCCATCTTCACATCTTGCCCTTCTCCCTCTCCACCCGCCTTCCCTTCTGCTGGATCTAGCTTTGCCCCGACACCTGTTGAATCCACCTCCATCTTGTCACCAGTTTCCTTCTCTCCTGCAACCCCACCTGCCCCCGCCTCTTGTTCCTTTCCTCCCTTCACTTCTCCTGCCACCGTTTCTCCTGCCACCGTACCTGTCTCTTCTGGCTTGCATTGAACCGCTGCTGTCTGTAACTGCTGGCCCTTCTCTTCCTCCTTCACCCCAACCACTAACTTCCCCTCCTCCGTACCTTTCTTATTCTCCTCTACTGCAGCCTTCTCCTTCCCACCGCCGTCTCCTGATGCACCTGCAGAACTTGCTTTCCCTTCTCCCTTTATACCCGCCTCCTCCTTCACCTCCTCCTTCCCCTCCTTCCCCTCCTTCACCTCCTTCCCCTCCGCCATCCCCTCTTTCTCTCCACCCTTACCCACCGTGCTCTTTTCTTCTCCCGCAGCCTCCTTCTGCTTCCCACCATCTGCCTCTCCCCCACCACCACCTGACTCAACCCCACCACCACCGGTCCCTTTATCAACTACCTGCTTCTCTGAATCCGCCTTACCATCTGGCCCAACCCCATGCTGCTTCTCAGCCTCCTCTCCTACCTTTTTCTTCTCACCCTCCTCCTGGAGCGGCGTACACTCCACCTCTGCCACCTTTCCTCCCTTCACTTCCTTGCTCTCCTCCACCGCCCCTGCTGAGTCACTTTCCCCCTTCTCACCCTCCACTCCCTCTCCTTCCTTCTTGCCACCCGCTGCACTCCCATCGTCTTTCTTCCCCTCCCCCTTCCCATCCTCGGCTGTTCCTTCCTTCGTACTCTCTCCTTCCGCAGACCCTTGTGCACCAGGGCCTTGCTCAGCCTTAACACCACCTGCTGCCCCCTCTCCTGCTGCACCCCGCTCCTTATCACCCGTGACCTTCACCACACCCTTCTCCTCCCCATGAGCCTCCGCCTCTCCACTCCCCATCGCCTCTGCTTCCACTCCTTTCTCCAATTTTTCCTCCGCTTCTTCCTCTGCCTTCTCTGAGCCTCCTGCGCCCTGCGATGGCTCCTTCCCCTCCGCCTTCTCTTCTTCCTTCACTTCCTTTGTCCCTGATGTTTCTGCAACTGACCCTGTTTCTGTCCCTGTGCCAATCTCTGTCCCTGTCCCTGCTCTCGCGCCTGCCTCTGTCCCAGTCCCTGTCCCTTCCGCCTTCTCTTCAACCTCGTTGGTCTTATCAGGAGCAGCGGCACGAGTCGTCTCATCACATGCTCCTCCCTTCTTGACCTCTGGCTCCTCCTTCCCTGTCACACCATCGTCCTGCTTTCCTCCATCTTCTCTCACCTCCTCCTCCTCCACCTTACCTTGCTCCTCCTTAGCAGCAGCAGCAGCAGCGTCCTTTGTCCTCTCCGCCCCACCCTCCTCCTTCTCCCCTCGAGCCCCATCCACCTCCATAGCCACAACCTCACCTCCCTTCTGCTCCTCATGCTCGCCTTTCTCCTTGCCATCTCCCGCCCCACCCTCTCCACCCTCTCCCCCCTCAGCACCATTCTGCTCCGCATCACCCACCTTCTCTGCACCACCTCCCTCGCCCTTCTCCGCCTTGCTCTCCTCATCCATCCCCTCAGCACCAGCACTTTCTTCCCCTTCCTTCTTCTCCTTCCCGCGCCCTTTGGCCCCACCCTCATGTCCCTCCTCCAACCCCTTCTTCCCATCAACTCCACCCTGCTCCGCTGCCCGCTTCCCCTGCTCCCCCTGCTCGCCCTGCTTGCTCTCCTCCTTCTGCCCCCCCTGCTCCGTTTCTACTCCGCCCACGCCACCATCTGCACTGTCCTTCATTTCTCCCTCCGCAACCTCCCCTGCCTTGTCCATCCCTTGTTCCTCCAACACTTTCTCTTCCTTCCCATCCGCCGCACCCACAGGATCACCTTGCCCCTCTCCCACTTCCGCACCTTCCTCCTCCCGACCTTGCTCTGCCTGCTCCCCCCCCTCAGGCCCACTCCGCCCCACCTCCTCTACCTCCATATCGCCCTCCTTCCCTCCCTCCGCCTTATCTCCCCCTGCCTCCACTGCTGCGACTTCTCCGTCGCCCTCCTCATCCTTCCCCGCTTCTGCATCACCCCCCTCTCCCGCGCCTGTATCATCCTCCCCCTCCTCTTTCCTTTCTTCCTTCCCGTCTTCCTCCAACTTCCCTGCGCTCGCCTCTCCACCACCCTCCTCTGGTTTTTGCTCTGCCCCCTCTGCACCCTGTGCCTGCTCCTCCCCTGCACCACCCTCCACTGCTGCCTCTCCTTCTTTCTCCACGTCTTTCTGCGCGTCCCCTCCCTGTGCCTCTCTCTCACTCTCTTTCAAATCGCCCTTCTCCTCTCTTTCTCCCTCAGCAACCTCCTCAGCCCTCTGCCCACCTGCCTTCTCCTCCTCCCCTTCACCCGCCTCTGTCTTCTCCTCTCCAGCTACCACCATCGTTTCAACTTTCTCCTCTCTCCCTGCCTTCTCCTCTCCCGCTTCACCTGCCTCGCCCTCTGCATTCCCCTTGCCCGCGTTCCCCGCCCCATCCCCCTCACCCTCCCCTTCCACCTCCATGCCTGCAGCTGCCTCGTCTTGCCCTGCAATACCACCTCCCGCCTCTCCCTCTCTATGTTTCCCCTCCTCTGAGAGCTTCACTCTCTCTCCATCCTCTGCCTCCTCTCCTTGAATCCCTCTCCCCTGTTCCTCTCTCTCTGCTTTCTCCTCTTTCTCCACTTTCTCCTCTTTTCCCTCGCTTCCCTCTTTCCCCTCTTTCTCTTGCTCTGTTTGCTCCTCTTTCCCCTCTTTCTCCTCCTCAGCTTTCTCCTCTTTCTCCTCTTTCTCCTCTTTCGCCTCTTTCCCCTCTTCAGCATCCCCACCCTGCTTCATCTCAACTTTCTCAGCCTCCCCACCAGCTTCCCCATTCCCTGCTTCGCTCTCTTTTTCCACATCCGCCTCCTTCTCTCCTTCCCCCACCTTCTCCCCATCCCCCTCCTTCTCCTCTTCCCCAACCTTTTCCTCTTCCCCCTCCTTCTCCCCTTCCTCCACCTTCTTCCTCACTTCACCCGCCCCCCCATTCTCGCCTTCCACTTCCATAGCTTCCGCTTCATTCTCCTGTGCTACCTCCGCCTTCTCCTCTTCCCCCAAACCCTCCTCTTTACCCTCCTGTGTTATCTCACTCGCTTCCACCAGGGCCATCCCAGCATCTTCCACTCCACTCACCGCATTCCCCCCTGCCTCTACATCCATAGCAACAGCCTCTTCCGCCTTACCCCCCTTCTCTCCCTCCTCCCCAGTACCCTCTTCCACCTTATCCCCCTCGCCCTTTCCCCCCTCACCTTCTCCTACCTCACCCTTCCCTTCCTCCATAGCCACATCTCCCTTCTCTCCTGCACCAGCTTCCCTTGCTTCACCACCCGTCCCACTCACTCCTTCAACAGCAGCCTCTGCTGTACTCAACTTCACCTCCTCATCCTCCTTCCCAGACTGCTCCCCTCCCCTCTCAGTCCCTCCCTCCCCTCCTCCACCCTCCTTGCCCGCCTCTCCTTTCTCCTCTACCACGCCTCCCCCACCCTCCTTTTCATCACCAGTTCCCCTCGCCTCCCCTCCCACCTCCTCCCTACCCTCAGTCTCACCCTTAGCGTCCTTCGCATCTACTGCCATGCCCTCTGTGCCCTCACGTCCCTCCTCCACCTCCCCTTCATGCTTCTCTCCTCCTGCAGCAGCAGCTTCACCTACCTCCACCTTTCCTGCCTTGGCCTCTTGTCCTGCACAATCCTTACCCTCATGCGTCCCTTCAACTTTCGCACTGTCCTTACCAACCCCTCCATCCTTCGCATCTCCTGCCCCTGTCTCCTTTCCTTCAACATCCGAGTCAGCCGTGGCAGCTGTAGTAGTGGCAGCAGCAGAAGCGCCCTTTCCAGAATCCTCCCCGTCCGCCTTCACTCCTGTAACTTCCACTGCCCCACCAGTACCTTTCGGTGCGCCCTCCTTGTCCTCCTCCTTTTCCTTCTCCTCATCCCCCTTTTCCTCCTTCACCTTCTCTGCTTCTTTCTCCTTCTCCTTCTCCTTCTCCTTCTCCTTCTCCTTCTCCTTCTCCTTCTCCTTCTCCTTCTCTTTTTCCTCCTCCTTCTCCTTCTCCTCCCTCGCCTTCTCCTTCTCCTTCTCCTCCTCCTTCTTCGTGCCCTGGGCATCTTTCACTTTCACTTCAGCAGCCACCGCCACTGTCGCAGCACCCTCCTCTGCCTTCTCTCCACTCGGCTTCACATCCCCCGTCACAGCCTTTTCCCGCTCCTCTTTATCAGACGTGGCACCACCCGCTGGCTCCTTTCTCTTTACATCTCCTTCCTCTTCTTTCCCTTCTCTTTTGCCCTCCTCCGTCTCTACTTCCTTGTCCTCCTTCTTCTCCTCACCCTCAACACTACCTTTCCCTTGCTCAACCTGACTGACTCCACTCGTCTTCTTTTCCTCCTCAACCCCCTCCGCTACCTCTTTTCTCAACCCTGCTACATCTGCTTCCCCTACAGATTTACCCTTTTCTTCCACCACCACACTCTCCTTTGATTTCTCCTCATCCGTCGACTGACTGGCCTTGCTCACTTGCACCTGGGTCCCATGTGCGGCCAATTGCTCACCAGACCCACTTCCCTTGGCATCTGCTCCTGTGCTTTGTGTGCTCTGTCGGGACTGTCCCTCCTCTTGTCCCTTTGTAATTGGTAATTGTGCCTGCAGTGCCTGTGCCTGTGTCTGCGACTGTGCCGGTGTCTGCGCCTGTGCCTGTGCCTGTGCCTGTGTCCGCGCCTGTGCCTGCGCCTGTGCCTGCGCTGATCCTTGCACTGGAGCGGCCACAGGAGCTGCCACCACACCAACACATTTCCCTGGGGCAGTTGCTGCTTTCACCTGTGAGGGCCTTGCCACTTGTGCGCTTGCAGCTGCTACTGCCGCCTGCCCCAGCTGAAGGACGGCCAGAGCTGGTACACCTGCCACCGCTGCCCTGCCTGCTGTGGCTGGCGATGCTGTAGCTGCAGGAGCTGCTACAGCTGCAGGTGCCGCTACAGCTGCAGGTGCCGCTACAGCTGCAGGGGCTGCTACAGCTGCAGGAGCTGCTACAGCTGCAGGTGCTGCTACAGCTGCAGGTGAAGGGGCTGCTACAGTTGCCGATACTGCTACAGCTGTTGGTGTTGCACCAGTAGTTGAAGCTGTTGGTGCTGCTACTTTAGCTGTTGGCGCCACTGGTGCTGCTAGAGCCGCTGGTGCTGCTGCAGTTACTGGTGCTGCTTTACCCGCCACAGCTGCTACAGCTTGCTGCGATGCAGCTGGCTGTGCAACGCCAGGCATTTGAGCCTGCCCCTGAACCATCTGTCGCACTGCTCCGGGCTGCGCAGGCTGAACTGGCGCCGCTGCCGGCTGTGCTTGAGGCAACACTCCCTGTGGCCTCGCCACCACCACTCCTTGTGGACGAACCCCCTGTCCCTGTGCCGCTGCCGCTGCTGGTGCCTGCCTTTGCTGCTGCTGCTGCTGCTGCTGCTGCAATGGTTGCTGCTGCTGGCCAGGGGGGGCTAGGCCTGTTCTTGCTTGTACCATCACCTGGCCTTTCTGGGGTGAGGCAGCCACCACGCCTTTGCCCTGCGCTGCTGCTGGCACAGCAATGCCTGACGGTGACGCCTTCCCTGCTGCTGCTGCCGCTGCCACTGCCGCTGCCGCCGCTGCTGGTGCTGTCACTGCTGGAGCTGCTGCCTCTGCTGGTACTGCCACCACTACTGGGGCTGTTCCTGGCGCTGCTGCTGGCACTGCAACAGCAGGAGGGACTGGCCGAACAGCCACCTGCTGCTGCGCACCCTCGGCACCCCCTTGCTGCCCCACCACCCGCCGCTTCCTATCAGGACCATCCTGCTCCCCGCCCTCTCCATCAGCAGTCTTCCCCACTGCCACTGGCCTTCCCGCGGCCAGACCCCTCCCATCCACCTCCATTGCTTCCGGCTTTACCTTGCCTGCCTCCTCCTCCCTGCCTCTCTTCCTCGCCATGCCTCCCTGCTGCTGGTTCGTTGTAACATCCCCCATCACCTCATCCTTACTGCCTGCATCTCCTCTCTGCCCAACGCTCCCTGCTCCACCTGCTACCCTGCCTGCTGCCATAGCAGCAGCACCAGAACTTGGCCCGGTGGCGGCGGGGGAGGCAGCAGGAGGAGGCGTGGTGCCGGTGGTGGCACTGGGGGCTGCAGGGGGGGGGGTGGCTTGGTTGTTGTCGAGGTGGGAGAGAATGGCAAAGTGGCGGCAGATATTGACAACCAGCTCCTCGTCGGAATCCTGGGGTCATAACGAGTATGAATGAACGGAGGGACGTGAGCAGAGATTGAGGAAAGAGAGCATGAGCCAGAAGAGAGGCGTCGAGAGTGACGGACAACTTGGTTGGTAACGATTAGTGATGTAGTACCCAGAAACCCTAACAGACAACCCTGAGCCTGCATCTAACCTGCACTGGCCTGCAACTTTGGCTGTGACCATAACTGACTGCGAGTGTGACGATGGTTGACTGACTGTGACTGACTGTGATTGACTGTGACTGACTCTAACTGTGCTGTGACTCTGACACTGCTCAGGCTCTCACCTGAAGCTCTGGTTGAGAGGAGGAAGCAATGACAGCACACAGCAGCTGCTTGAACAGTGCTCGCTCCGCCTGCAGCTGAGTCTTCGTCTTCGCCCCAATGTCAACCTGTTGGGGTCACAAGAAGAAAAACCGACACACCAGTTTCAACAGTGGCAGGGCGGCAATAGTGATGATACTGTTGGCACAGAAGCACAGCCAGATGGCACTGGTTGGAATGCCAAGGAACCACCCAAGTGCTGCGTATTCCATCGTGTGAGCACGTGGTGCTTCATGCACTGTTCCAGCAGCCGTATCATCCCGCAAGCGCCTACTCGTGGAGGCTACTGACTGCTACTGACCTTAGGAGCAGCAAACTCCACGCGGTGCCTGCTGCGATCAGCAGGAGACAGCAGCAGAGAGGCCAGCTGCTGCGAGCTAATCCCAGCCTCGCGATCCACATTCCCCCGCAGATTCAGCACCGACAGCAGGCACACACGCAGGAACCGCAGCGACTGCCGCCGCAGGTGCAGCGTGAGAGTCGGGTTGGAGAAGGAAGAGGGCGAGGAGGAAGAGAAGGTCCCGAGAGGCGTGGGAATGGCGCCAGAAGAGGGGTTGGAGGAGGAACGAGAGGATGCTGAAGTGGTGGAATGGCCAGCAGGGCCGCTAGCAGCAGCGCCGTGGCCGCTACTCGGCCCGCCTGTGGTCCCTGCCTGCCCTGGTTCTGCCTTCACCTCCCCACCCTTCCCTTCCTGCGGCTCTGCCTTTGTCTGGATGCCACGCTGCTCCTGCTGCCCCTGCTGCTGCATCGTGCCTGGCCCTGCAGCAACAGCAGGCGGACCAGCCGCACCGCTACCACCACCTGCTGCTGCTGCTCCTCCTGCTGCTGCTGCTGCTCCTGCAGCTCCTCCTCCTGCTCCACTGCCCGCAGCTGCTGCTGTTGTAACTCCTGGAGAAGGGAGCGGGGGGGGAAGCGGGCCTGCCATGACGGCAGCGTAGGCCAGCTGAACACAACGGTCCAGGGGCACGAGAAACGATGTGCTGGGCTCGAACGTGAGAATCAGCCGCAGCCCATGCTCCGGATTCTCCTTTGCCTCCAGCACCAACGGGTCTTTCAACCTGCGGTTTCGCCCGCCCAGCTTCCCCAGCAGCTGCAGCGCCTTGCTGCCATACGGGTACGGCTTCGGGCGTAAATGCGACCAGAGACAGAGCAGCAGGTCCGGTAGCACAGGAGCCATGGCTGGCTCTAGGAAGTCTGGGTTGACCGAGTCAACCCAGACCTCGAGTGTGCGTAACCCAAGCCCCACCAGCTCTTCAGATCCGCGAAGGGCCCTCAGCAGGGGTTTCATGAGGCGCGGGAGGTGGGAGAGCAGCGAGGAGAGGCGAGCAGGGAGAGAGAGGCTGAGCTCCAGCAGCAGATCGTTAAGCTGAGGGCCTGAGGGGCCGTTGAGGAGCGAGACAATGGTGTTGGTGCAGGGGAGGAGGTACGGCACAAACTCGCGATACAGCAGCTCGAAGCGGCCCCCGGAGAGCGCTCGGAACATCATGCGCAGCAGCTGGAGATACGCGTGCGGGCGGTCGAGGTCCGTGGCGGCTTTTAACGAGGCGTCCATTATGGCGGATATGTGGGGCTGCAGCACGCGCTCGCAGTCGTTGGGGTACTTGGCAACGGCGCCAAAGAGCAGGCGGAAGAGCTGCTGCACGAGCCCTGCTACTGGCGTGTCGGGCGTGCGGAGCGCGTCCAGGCGTGAGGTAACGAGGAAGCTCGCGAGTACCTCGGCGAAGTGCCGGCACGCCTTGTGGTTCTGCAGGAGCGCTGCAAAGACCTGTGTGGGAGGGGGGGTTGGGGTGAGAGGGGAGAGGATGGACGGACAGATGGCGGGAAGGAGGGAAGGAGGCCGGGGCCGAGGAATGGGAATGGGGGAAGGGGAAGTAGAATGAGATAAGATTGTTGGGATTGAAAAATTACTACCTGGTACAGCACAGGAGAGTACACAACAACACCGAACATCACAACACAGCGACCCAAGAGCCCATGAAAAACAGTCGCACGCGCACGCCCACCGTTACACATGAAACCAAGGAGCAGGGATGGGCGAGGAACATGTAAGTGAAGTGCTGCAAAGCAGTGCAGTGCAGAGCAGGCAGGCAGTGCCCCCCTCCCCACCCACGCACCTGCAGCAGCTGCGAGTTGTTGAGGAGCGCTTGGAAGAGCGAGGGCATGGTGAGGGAGAAGATATCCATGAGGTCCCGGGGCTCCATGACTGTGAACACAGACGCGAAGTGCAGGAACGTGTCGTCGTCCTCCTTCTCCTTGAACACCGCCAGGCACTGCACTCCACTGCGCAGCATCGCACTCGCCAGCAGCACCTGGTGGCCGCGCCGCACCGCACCGCACAGAATGAAATGGATTGAGTACAGCGTGGAAAGCTGTACAAGAGAGGAAAGACGCTAGCCACAAAGGCCAACAAAAACATAGCGAGGCTCGAGAGCATGTGTGGACCCTGAAGAGAGCATGCTTGAGAGGAGAATTCTGGCCAAACTAAATGACAACCAGGCAAGCAGGGCAAACCCTGGTTGGCGTAGCCAGGCGTGAAAAGCAAAGCAGTACTTCGTTTGCATTGCACCACCTCCTGGCGCAACCCTTTGTGAGCGATTATATTATAAAATTTATACGTACATATAGATTCACTTTTTTTTTTTTTCCAAAAAGGCACGTACCTCCTCCTGCCGCATGCCCTTGCTGCCTGACGGCTGGGGCGTGTTAGGCATGGCTGGGTGTGTCTGCTGCGGTGCTGCATTCGAGAAATGTGTTATGCTCCACAGCAGACTCTTCATGGCTGGTGGGGCAATGGGGACGGCACATTGATGGAGAGCGCTGGAAATTATGCTGAGAGCACGGCGATGCGGGAATTAAATTCTTCAACGATCTTTCCAAGGGGAACGATGACTTCCGTGGCACAAGGAACGGACAGAGCCCAAGGAGGACAAGCCAAACGAATCGAGGTCACAAGATGCTCCAGGTGGTGCAAGCTTATTGAAGAGGCTAGGCTGGGCTGGGGTGGGCTGGGGTGGGCCTTACAGATGATGAGTGTGCGAATAAGCTGCTTGAAGTCCGCCACCTCTTTGGCATGGTCCATTGCCACATGGCCCGCCAGCGCACTCTGCAACACACCACCACACCGCACACCATCGCACACCACCGTCGCACGGTGGTTTGACAGGAGCAGGCAGCACCAGAGCCGGACAAGGCGGGCAGAAGTCGAGCAGAAGCAGATTGAGGGGAAGGGGCAGGTGGGCGGGTAGCTATGGGTTGATGCACAATTGGAGCGAGCAGTGGCCATGGGTCATGGGTCATGGGGCATGGCAGACACAATTGTGCCCCGTGCCCTGTGCCCAATGACCCATTGTGGGGCACGGGGCATGGCAGACACAGGGAGAAACCCACGTGTTGTGCAAAGCAGCGCTGCGCACATGGATCTTCACTAGCAGCCTTGCACCCATGTGTTGTAAAAAATCAGCATTGCACACGCACGCACGCACGCAAACGGACCTGCACTGGCAGTTCAAGGCGGGCTCTGAGGCTACGGCGCTCTTCAGGTGCTGCATCAGGCGCCCCCCCCTCTTCCATTAACTGCTGCCATGCACACGCACACACTCACACCCACACACGCACACGCACACACACTCACACCCACACACTCACACCCACACACTCAAACACACACACACACACACACACACGCAACAGAGACATGGGAGCCTCAGCAACGCAGCAGAGTAGTGATAACGAGGCAAGCAGAGGGGCGTGTGTGTGTGCGCAGTGGGCATGCGTGCGTGTGTGTGAGCGTGCAAACATGGGAGCGCGAGCGATTGCGAGTGCATGTGTGCGACTGCGTGTGCGAGGGCGAGCGTGAGTGCGGGTGCAAGCTCACCGACTCAACGCTCTCCTTGAGGGTGCCAAAGCGGCTCACAAACGCATCCAGAATGCGATCCTGCCACGGGCAAGGGCAATGATGATGATGATGATGATGATGATGATGATGATGATGATGATGATGATGATGATGATGATGATGATGATGATGATGATGATGATGATGATGATGATGATGATGATGATGATGATGATGATGATGATGATGATGATGATGATGATGATGATGATGATGATGATGATGATGATGATGATGATGATGATGTGGTTATATAAATGCGACAGCACAGTGGAAAGCGGGCAGGAGGATGTGGGAGGGAGGGGGGGGAGGGAGGAAAGGCGGACAACGGACAATGGGCGGGTGGAGAGAGAGAGAGAGAGAGAGAATCTGCATGCATGAGCGGTCCCATGGTGCATGCTGGGTTACAAACGAAGTGGTGCTGTAACCACGGATCGGATGCTCCCATGTTGGGAAACAAGCAGGCCTTGTACCCGGTGTGAATGAATGGTGCATGCTACCACACGCTGCGAGCGCTCGAAGCAGGCAGGAACCAACAGAAAACGAGTCACAGTGCAGCAAGAGATAGGTGAGAGAGGAATCAGGAGAGTGCAGCAACGAGAAGCGAGGAAGAGCGAAGTAGGAGCGGAGGCGAGGTGGAGAGGGGCAGGACAACGGGGGTTGACTGGGGGGGGAGAGAAGGGGAAGTGGGCACTGACCAGCAGCACGCGGCCATCCTCGTGGGCAAGGCGACGTTTGAAGATGGTTTCCACCTGATCAATGCAGAGCGTCACACACAGAGACAGACAGTGGCATGAGGCAGGCGCCGAGGCATGAGACTCAATGCAGGGCAGTGTCATGCGGAGCAGAGCCGCACAGTGGCATGCGGAACGGGGCCATCAATGGAAAGCCTGTGTAACTTTGAAAAAAGGGAGAGTGCGGCCTGTGGTGAGCCAGTGAGCGTTTTTAAGGAGGCCCGAGGCACGGCGGCAGCCTGTGGTGAGGTGGCGATAAATGGATGGCTAAGGAGCAGCGCAGCGCAGTTGACGTACCAAGTTGAGCATGAGGCGAACACATGTTGTCTGCACCGACAGATGCAGCGATGCATCATGCACGTTGCGCGAGAACAGATACACGATGCGTGACAACTGCAATGTGAGGCAAGCGCAGGGAGGGAGAGGGGGAGAAGGGGGAGGTGGGGGGAGGGAAGGGGGGTAGGAGAGGGGGGGGGGTGAGGAGGGCAGAGCACAGGAAAACGGACGGGTGGTAGGTGAGGTGAAGCGAGTAGTGGTCATAATAGCGCTCAATTGAGAATCCAAAGGTGCAAATCACCTCCAAGACATAAGCAGCACTCAACAACGTCGTTACGGCAACTAGCAAGAGTAACACAAAGAAGGACACTGCATATGCACAGGGTGCAATGCAGTGCAGTGCGGTGCGGTGCGGTGGAGGAGAGAAGAGAAGAGAAAGCAATGAGACTTGCCTGGATGAGGGAGAGCTTGTCCTTGAGATGGTGAATGAGCTCCGCTAGCAAAGAGTAGACGAGAGGACGTGTTTCAAGTTGACTCAAAACACGGAGTGCAGTGCGGTGCCATGCAGTGAAGAGAAGAGAAAGCAATGAGACTTGCCTGGCCGAGGGAGAGCTCGTCCCTGAGATGGTGAATGAGCTCCGCTAGCAAAGAGTAGGCCAGAGGCCGCAACGTGTCGTAGCACGCCCTGCCGGTGCCCACAAGGACTCTGGAACCGGGGACAGGAGGGGAAGAAGGGGGGCGATGCAAGACACGGTGTAAACGGGCAGGTGGCACTACGGTAGGCAGGTGGCAGGGAGATGCGTGCTGGCAATAGGGGTTGTTGGCGTGAAAGTTGCTAGTGGTTCAGGCCACAATTTGGCGGACACAAGCCACAGGACCTGATAGAAGAAAGCACAGAGCGTAGCGACGTGGACCGTGTGGGCGAGGTGGGTGGGAGAGAGCATGGGGGGGGGAAACGGGAGAGAATTAGCACAGAGCAGAGCAGATCAGGACAGCGCAGAGCAGCACAGAGCAGCAAAGAGCAGAGCGGCAGAGACAGCATCGGAGAGAGCAGCAGAGAGCAGCACAGCACCTCTCGTCGAGCAGAGTGTCGAGCTGCGGGAAGAAGCCTCTCTTGAAGTCCGTGGCCAGCACATGGCGTGTTGCCACTAGCAACTCCTGTGCGCGCGCACGGCAAGGAGCGAGGAACCGCAGGTGGGGAGAGTAGAGCGAAGGGCGGGGAGAGTGGGACAGAACCAGGGTGCAAAATGTCGCCGAATTTTTCATATTTTGGGCGAAAATTTCGCTATCGAAAATTTCGACCGAAAATTTCCATAATTTCGGTCCCCCTTCCAAAAAAATATTTGGCGGAAAATTTCGTCCGAAATTTTCAGGAAAAAAATGAGAAAATCGGATAAAATTTCATGGGTGGACATTCTAATGGCATTTTGCCACCAGATCTAGGCGGATGTGGCATTTCGTCATCAGATCTAGGGCGGATTTGGCATTTCGCCACCAGATCTAGGGCGGATTTGGCATTTCGCCATCAAATCTAGGGCGGATTTGGCATTTCGCCATCAGATCTAGGGCGGATCTGGCATTTCGCCATCAGATCTAGGGCGGATCTGGCATTTCGCCATCAAATCTAGGGCGGATCTGTCTTTTTTTTTTTTTTTAGGTCCATTAAAATTTCGCCGAAATATTACAAAAACGGCCGAAAAATTCGATCGAAAATTTCGGCTCGAAAATTTCGCTCAGCGCAATTTTCCACCTTGGACAGAACGAGGGATGGGAGAGAGGAGGGGTTGTGGTAAGGAGGAAGGGGCATCAGCATGCAGTGGGGAGGCGGGAAAGAGCCATATGGACTGAACACATGCTTGT